GGTTGAGGCTCACCGTCATGCAGCACACAGCCGTGAGCCTCCAAGTCACGAATCTGAGTGTCGATGCGAGCATCATGATGACACGCGACTTATCACGAATAATAGGAGACTTGGCCTGTTCTTACCTGGCATCCGGTGTGCAGCGGCTCCCGAAACAAGAATGGAACGGGGCTCGACACCATGCAAGCTCGGCAATCGTGATCGAGAACGCTCGATGCGCAAGGCGGGAAGGCGCGGAGAGCTATAGTGGGCAGATGGACATCATGTCACGTGCACTCGTCATCGCGACTGTCGGTAAATACCAGCTTTCGGCGTGGAACCAAGCTCACAAGCTCGAATCTCTTACATCCTGTCGCTCTGCTGAACGTGCAAGACTAGACTTATGACTGTCGATTCTTGATTGTTTGTACGAAAGCCTGGGCACCTCGCTTGGTCGCTCTTTCTTGGTGCCAGACCGTCCCTTCATAAATCTTGTGGTATGTGAGCCTGTCTGACGCGCAACGGTTGATTCAAATCTCCTAAACCTTGTTCTGCGCCACTGGTACGTAGGCGAACCTATAGAATCCCGCAAATTCTGCAATTTTGGTGATCGATGCGTGGTGCAGGGAGCATCAAACAGTGCAAGGCCTGGAAGCGGCACGGCCATTGTGCTTCACCCAGCTACGACGGTCGACCGACGACCACGCCGCGCCGGCACGGTCGCTCCCCTCACTGTGGTCAAAAGTGGCATCCTACACCCGCGACGCAAAAATGAAAATCTACACAATTTGAATGGGAAGCTTCAGAAAATAAGCATCAATGAGAGACCTGCCAGCGACCAAGCTGTGATGGGGGATTCTCAATTCTGATGGAAGCTACGAGTCTTCAGCTGCTCGAGCTTTACGATGAGGAGCAGACTGCCAGTCACGTGCTCTGGCGACTCGTGTGCAGCCGGCAGCTTGCCAGATGCAGCTGGTCCACGCATGCACATCAGCAAGCCCCCGAATGCCCTCATCGACCCCTCCTCCACCGCAACACATTGATAGCGTCCCGAGTCTCCCTCATACCGCCAAGCAGTACTTCGCAGCTGTCTTGTCCTTGACCTGGTCGCGCCTTGAGCCACACACTCTCATTACTGCAGCTGCGCGACGTCGGAGGCAGCCTCGCAAGCTTGGCTGGCGTCTCCACTTCATGCGTAAGATCCCAAGAGCGCAGCACAGTGCAGTAAAGCCCGCCCAGCTCCCCAAGAAGTCCCGGAATGAGCGGAGAGGGCAGAAACATTCCGAGGCCACTGTCCCCTCGAACGATATGTAGCGAGGCCAATAACGCTCCGGACCAAATACTCGCGCTAGGAGCTCGATATCACAACCCAACCAGCCAAGCAACAGTAGCAAATGCACCTACAGATCTCACAAAGGTTGTAGGCCAGGATGAATCACACCACAAACTTATCTCAGAGTACGAGCAGAGCATCGCGCTAGCAGGTGCTCTCTACTTGGGCAGCGCTCCCGACGCCGGCGAATCCTCTTCCGTGACCGACAAGCTACACCGCCAAGTCGCGAACGCGCAGGCTGCGAACGAGTCGAAAATCGAGAGCCTCAACGCTGCCCTGACGGTGCTACAAAGCGAGCAGTAGCAGGTCGCATGACCATCCGCTGCTTGCTACTAGTCCTGCTACGCTCGCTCCGTCCCAGGGCGACGGTCGCTCGATGCACGTCACTTGGTCATGCACTTTGCAACACTCGACGCTTGCCCGTGTCAACCCAACCCGCCTTTCGCAGAATTTCATGGACGACCTTGACAAACGTTGCTGCACCCGAGGTCTGACGGAGCCCTACTCGTCACTTGACGTCTAACGAGCTCCCATCCGAGGAAAGAGCAGAATCGCGACAGCCGCCCAGCAGTCAGCTGCAGTCCAAGCAGGGATTTGACGACGCCACCGAAATGACCCGCTTGGGGCAACACACGCGTTCGAGTCGTTCATAACGCGAGGATCACACTTGTCACACTTCAAGCACCCAGTCGCGGTATAACCAAATATGCCTTGGATGTTGTACACGAGTGGGAAGATCAGCGAGGCTGGGTAGCTAAAGAATAGAAGCACATGGTGGTTGGTGCGTAAGCTTTGACGGAGGTCAAAGGGGAAAAGGCCTGATGCCTGGATGTAGTTGCGTGCAATGTATACGAATCAAGCACGACTTGTTACTGCAATGACGACTTGGGAGTGCAAGCTATGATAAGCTTGATGAGAAGCGCTCGATACGAGCAGCTTAGTCCTGGCTGGCAGCGGCCTTGCCACCCTTCTTGGTCTTCGAAGGCAGGAGCTCGGCAGCGATGTGAGGAAGGACACCACCTTGCGAGAGGGTCACGCCTCCGAGAAGCTTGTTGAGCTCTTCATCGTTGCGGATGGCGAGCTGAAGGTGACGAGGGATGATACGAGACTTCTTGTTGTCACGAGCGGCGTTACCAGCCAGCTCGAGGATCTCAGCTGCCAGGTACTCGAGGACGGCAGCGAGGTAGACTGATAGATGAAAGACAGATAATGGATGCGTCAGCACCTTGCACCAGGTTCGTCCAGCTGTGTGAATACGACTCACCTGGGGCACCAGCACCAACACGCTGAGCGTAGTTGCCCTTACGCAAGAGACGGTGGATACGACCGACAGGGAACTGAAGGCCGGCCTTGGCCGAGCGCGATTGAGACTTGGAGTCAGAGCCGGTCTTGCCGCCAGACTTTCCGCCAGAACTGCAAGGAAGTAGAGTCAAAGAGCGCGATTAGCAGCTAGTCCGACGAACATTGCGTGTGCCCAACGAGAACCACGCCGACGAAGTGACACTCACGACATGTTGAGAGATTGAGTTGGGTGGGCGGTTGTGAGTGTGGTGCGTTGTGTGGAAGCTGATAGCTGAAGCAAATTGCGAAGTCTGTGTTGAGGATCAGGAGAGAAGGGATGAGGCGAATGGTCCACCTGATGTGCTTCTTTATGAAGGCAGTGCGCATCGTGTCCTGTGCTCGGGCCAGGAAGATGCCCTGCCCGAAAGCAAGACGTGAGGAGACACCCAAGCGCGTCGGGCACCTGCAGCACCGCGCACACACGACGTGGCGCGCTTGCGCACAGTGCTCCTGCGCCTGACAAAAACGTAGCACCGCATGTCTTGCGCGCTTGCATACGCGGAACGCGCTCGTTGTGAGCGGACAACATTAAAAACATACTAAACAGAAATGCTGTCCGCCGCGTGAGTTGCGCGTTCTCCGGTTCATGCCCAGCTTGCAGACGCGCTGTCCCATTTTTGACGTAGTAGTCTTTAATTCTGTCCGGACATAAACGTCAGTCGGCGGGCGCCACGCCTCGCGTGGTTGCCGCGGCGTGAAGCTCAGCAGAAACGTAACACCTGACCTGATGCGCGACGTGAGGCCACAAGATCGCCTTTCGCTTTGCATGCAGGTCATTGCAGGGCTGATTGCGCATTTCGTTTCGCGGCGTGTGTGTCCGTGCGGCTCGAGCTAGAGGAAGCGCGTCGCGACTCATAAGGAGAAGGCAAGACGCGATGTTACTTCGCATCTCCTTCCTCCTCCAACCACGATCATACCAATCTCTGCAGCGTAAGCTCGTAACAACACACACGACCTCGCCTTCTCAACACTCTGCAAATCTCTCAAGTGAGTCCATCGTTTCATGTCATCCATCGCTTGCACCGCGTTCATCGCTGACCCAGTTGTACTTTCCTTCGTCTAGAATGGCACCCAAGCCCGCATCCACCGCCGGAAAGGCACCCTCTTCTCAAGCCGGCAAGGCTCCCGTCAAGGCACCTGACGCAGCCAAGAAGTCGACTGCCAGCAAGTCTGCTGCCAAGAGCGCCGACGGCAAGAAGAAGAAGAACAAGGTCAGAAAGGAGACCTACTCCACCTACATCTACCGTGTCCTCAAGCAGGTCCACCCTGACACTGGTATCTCGAACAAGGCCATGGCCAGTGAGTGTCGATCTAATCAAAAGGACACGACGACGGTCCACAGAAACAGCTTAAGCTGATTCCTCTCCATGGCCGCTTTACAGTCCTCAACTCCTTCGTTCAGGACATCTTCGAGCGCATTGCTGCCGAGGCCTCCAAG